ATTATTGAGAGAGCAGGTTGGGTGTTTGTGTGTGTGTGTGTGTGTGTGTGTGCATCCCTCACTGACACGACATCCTCTATACTGTGTGTACAGGATTCACAGCAGACAGGATACAGCGGCCGGGCTGCTAGTTTAAGAAAGATGCTCTCTGACCCGTCCCTCAGCCTCACTTAAAAACGCTGTAAATGACTGGGTAGTTTTCAACCGTATTATTAGTGTTGCTATTATTTTCGGTCTTCTTGTTTAATGACTGTGCAGCCGAGGACAGAAAAGGAAAAAGACTATTACGGCTCTGCTCATTTCTTGGTGTGTGATCTACTTATTTATTTCTTTACTTTTAAGCACTGTTGCTCATTGACGGTGAGAAAAGCTGACAGCGGCTTAGGAGGAAAAGCACACAGTATTATTTTGGGATTGCTAATGCTGCTCTTTTAACAAGTGGCCCCTGAAAAAAAAAAAAGTGTTTAAACGAGCGCTGAGGAACAGAACAGACTCCTCGGCTCATCAAGCATCGTTTCCTGATTAAAAGGAGTTTGGCGCAGCATCGTTGTGCAATTGGATCATAGTCATTCGTTTTATCATTTTTTTTGGAAGCATCTCATTGTCAGATAAGAGAATTTTCTGGAAGTACTGAATAATTTAGTCCCACTCGTCGTCGGTGGAAGCCAGACTTTGCATCTCTCTTTGATAAGGCTCTCCTCAGCCAGCCTCAAAAACTCTCATGTTCTTCTTCTTCTTCTTCTTCTTCTTCGCCATGCTGCAGAATCCACTGTTCCTCTCATCCAGCTTCACCATGGCAACGTGTGTCATCTTGCTTCATGTGCTGGAGAACATAATCTGGTTGTCTGGAGCAACTGTTGGTTGATTGGGAAGGAAAGCAGAGGGGGAGAGGAGTGGAGTGGGGGATGTGGAACCCCTTAGGTATGGAGAGCACTCCCTCTGACCTATTTAGATCACAGGGACAGGCCTTTGTTACGGTCGCCTCAGGTCTTCCACTGGAAAATCTCTCACCTTTTCGAGTGTGCCTCTTCGTAGGAATCAGCTGCACATGCCCTGCTGCAGCTTTTACTGTCCCTAATGTAGTTTCTGCTGTTGAAACCCTGATTAGGGTTGCTCTGATGCAGCTGTAAGTATCATGCCTCAGATAGCCTGTTCATCTAATGCTGGAATTTTTAAGCCCGGAAATCTTCATTTTAATCACTTCTTCCTGCTACCTGAAGGCGATTTCTTAGATTTAATATCTAGTCTCGCAATAGTGATGTACATTGTTACCTTAGCATTAGCATTTTATTGTCATGAAAACGATGAGGCTTGCTAGATTGTTAGCTTTTAGAGAGTAGGGTTTGCAATCCTTACTTCAGAAATTCACATAAACAAAGTGACCACTATCTAAACAGTGTGAGACATTAGAATCGGTTGCAAATTAAACAGCGTAATTAATATAATAATGTGTACAACCAAGTAGAGGCAAAATCATGTTTCTCAAAAATACTTGGTGAAAGTTTGGCACTTAATATTGTTCCACATTCAATCGTCATTGTTTTAACTGTGGAGTGGATTTGAATCATCACATCGTCTTCTGATACCTATCCAGGCAAACAATCATATTTGGAAGTTCGACCTCCATTATCTTCTTTCACATTTATACTACTGCTTCAATTTTATATACCTGCGTTGTGCTCCCACTATGGATTTATAGTGCCCATCTGTGCCTCTTGAAGAGCAGCAAAGAAGCTTTGATTTCCATCAATTTTAATGTTTTTTTTTTTTTTACAAGTGCAGGCCATCAGACGATATATAATTAGGAGGCACTGGTAGTGGTTAGTGCATGCGCCCCATGCATGGATGTTACAGTCGTTCATGCAGCCCTGGTTCAAATCTGAACATGTGGCTCCTTCCCCGCATGACATTCCCCACTTTCCTCTCCCTGAGTTGTGACTCTATACTCCAAGAAGTAAATAAAAATAAAAAAAAGTGTACTAGAAGTCTACTAGACTCAAGGGAGCGATGTGTCAAACAAATCTCCAAACAGAATCTTTATTAATCCATGTTGTCCTCAGTTCTCACTGCCTGTCAAACCACCGAATACAAGAAATACAAGAATGCTTTGAGAATGCCAATACAAAATGACAGCAATCATATCCAAATCAACAAAAAGTCTTTCAGTCTCCTTTTTAGAATCAGAGCAGTATAGTGAGTGTCTGCTGAGTCACAAAATCAGGTTTCAGGAAGGGGAATGTTGAAATGAGAACATCTGGCTCTGATAAGTCTATCTTATTGAAGTCAGTGTGATTTCTAAGGTTTGATCTATCCTAATTGACCGGAGACTTGTGGATTCTCCCACCATAGACCATCAGATCCATGCTTGCCTATTGGATTCCTACTTTATTGATGCTCTAAAACCTCTTACAAATGATCGGCCTCACCGACTGTGGCTGCTGCTAATTGCTATCGATGATTAAAAGCCTGTTGGAAAAAGGCTAATACCGCTGACCCTTCGACCAGCAGATAGCTGGCTCTTATAACACATGCGATCCATACTACTGCATTCACTGCTGTGCTTACAACGTGAACTAAATCCGCCAGTGACACTGATCTAAACACTGGAAGTTTTTTTTTTTTTTGTGCACATATTTGTCATTGCAGCCAAACCCAACACGGAGGATTGTCCCTGAAGTGCCCTGTTTGTGGGAGTTAAAGCTGTCAGATGATTTGCGAGCGTCCTCTGTCGTTGGAGATTACTGGAATTTTAATTTATCTGAGTGTTTTTGGTTTGCAAATCACACAACATTTAAGAAGCTACATTTTACAGCTCTTTTTTTTTGGTGGGGGGGGGGCTCAGAGCTTAACCGAGTCTGTACGGTATTTTGAAAAGACTTAATCCCTCAGCTGAGATGGCATTATACCTCTCAGTGGCACACGTCTTTTACCAGAGCTCCGCGTCACTCAGATGCTGGGTTCAAGAGTTGCCTTTAAATGCAGTTTTTTTTTTTTTTTTGTGAGAGGACTTAATGCTGTGCAGCCCCTGAGTGGTTCGCATCGTATCTGATGGAACAATATGAAATCAAAAGCTGCGTGCTCGGAGCATTTGGTGGAGTAAAAGTGTTGAGCATCAGGGAACGTCAGAACAGATTAAAAGCCTTTCCACCCTGCTTCTCTCGCTCTCCCCCCCCCCCCTTCCTTCTTTGCTCTTTGTTACTCAAACACTCTCCCTCCTTATCTCTTTTTTTTTCTCTACTTTGTAATGCTATCTCCTTTCATCTGTCCTCCTCTGCCCCATGCCTTCCCCTGGTTTCCCCTCTTGTCCTCCTCGCCTCTCAGCTCCTCTCCTCTCTCTCTCTCTCCTCTCCTCTCTTCTGTCTGCGGGGCCCTAAGATGGAGTGGCTCCGTCTCACAGAGCTCATAGTTAATTAGGCTTGGCCTTGTCACACATTGAGGGCTGGAGCCAGAGTTGTTGCTAAACCCAGTGGGGAGGCAGAGACAGAGATGGAGATCTGGAACAGTTGGCGTCAATCTATTGCCTGCTGCTGACAAAGCCAGTGACCATTCCCCTGCCCTCCCAGCACACAGACTCTCGGCCCATGTTTGTGGAGCATGTTAATCTCATAAGATTAGTATTGAAGGTGCCTCGCTCTGTTGTTTTATGCAGGTTTGGATTTGTCTTTTTATCGCTGTGTACAGGAATAATGTAGTGTCCTTATTTCTAGCTGAAATGATGGGACAGTTAATCTATGGAACAAAAAAACAATTAGCACCAAATTTGATTATTAATTATTTCAAGTAATATTTCAAGTAAAAATGCTTTATATTTCTCTGGTTTCAGCTTCTGTCAAGTGAAAATGTGATTTTTGTCTTCTGTTTTATTGAATGAAAACAACCTTTTTGGGGTTTTGGTCATTTTCAAGATCACGCTTTTCCTTTTTTTTTTTTTTTTTTTTTTTTTTAAGTTTGTGATTTCATCCAGAAAAAAGACTCAGTATGCTTACAGAGTATGAACCATTTTAAAGATTTATATTTGGGCTTATAATACTTCTGTTGTAGAGATAGCACAGTGCACTTTTTTCAGTGCTACCACTACACTGTTTATTGATTCAACTCGCTTAGATTGACTCTGACGTGCAGCTGCAGCTCATTTGTGTCTTCTCCCAACTTTTCCTAGTCTTTTTTTCAGTCGCCAAGAGCATCTTCTACACTTTCCAGATTTAAGAGGACCTTGTTCAAAGTTAACTGAGGTGATCAGTGTCGCCTCTTAAGATATGTGTAGGTGTAAGAGGTGGGTAGAAAGCAGTTTAAACCTTTCTACTCCTCTTGGAAAATGTGGGTTTGGGGCGAAAAGGGTATTTTAGGGGTAGGATACAATAGAAAAAAAAACCTACGTCAGTAAGCACCAAATCTGAGATGTGTCCTTAAAGAAATTCTATCCTTCTTGTCAGCCATGTTTATGTTGCCCTTTGGAGCGGGGACTCTGCAGTATAATGAGGATCTGCATAGTCTCTCTCTCTTATGGATTGTGTCGCCTGTGTGAAATATCCCCCAGCTTAACAGTGTGCACAGCTATTCAGACGGAGAACCATTTCCCCTCTGTGTCTCTCTCCCTCACTCTCTCTCTCTCTCTCTCCATGTGCTTGAAATAAAAAGAGAAAATCCCATTTCAGCCGTGACATTCTGCCTGTGTAGCAGAAACATACAGAGACTATACATCAAAGCGAGGCAGAGTGCACAGTGAGGGAAAGGAGGTTTAATGACGACTGCAGTCTGGAGTGATAATATAGAGCTGCTTAGAGGGAGCGCTCAAGTTATTATTCCAAGTATAAACCCTGCGCCACTCTTCTTTTACAAGTGTGCGGGGAATATGAAACCCACTGTGTAATAGTCATTTCTTTTCTACATTGTTCCGGTGATTAACTCTGCCGTGTGTGTGAACTTGTTAATCAATCTATCGGTGCTTTAATCTGCTTGACTTTTTTTTTTTTCCCCTCTTTGTTTTTGTCCCCTGGCAGGTTCCACATACAGCGTTCTGTCCACGATGCCCTCTGACTCAGAAAGCAGCAGCTCCCTCAGTAGCGTCGGTACGTACAATCATCCAAGATGCCTTTTCATGTTGTATATGCGTCAAGGCAGGTCAAAAAGGGTCTCCAGCACGACTAAAGTAACCAAAACGGTGCACACAACGACATCAGCGTTCTTCTTCTATAACCTGTAGGATGTTCAGGCTGATGAAAGTCTCACATTTGATTGATGGTACAGACTTTTGAAAGACAAGTGTTTTTACTTTTTCTTTTAAATCAACCTAAAACACCGCCCCAACATCTCCCTCTGTCCTTAAAAAAAAGCCATGCTTGCCTTTCCCGAGTTTTGACAAAGGTCCAAATGACTCAGCTGTGTTACATAAACCTCCAAAAGAGCCAAATGTTGAGCCAAAGATGGACATAATCCTCCGATTTCTAGCCATATGTGTACTTTGCAATGAAGAAAACAACTCTGAAAATTTGTCCTTTGTGATAAAAATGAATTTTTTATTTATTTATTTATTTTTTTAACTGTCAAGGACACAGATTGAAAGAGAACGACCTTGTTATTTCAAAGAAGCTCTTTCTCTGTTAAGATCAATCAGGTGAATGTTAATGTCGGAAACAAATGGAACAACCACATCTTATAAAAGAAGAGTAAGACTGCGATTAGGTCAAAAATGGCACTCCAAACACAAGTGCCTAAGTATGATCTAAGTCTTTATGGACACATTTTGGTAAAACCACACATACAGTACAGTACCAGCGTTACATTACATCACCAAATCCAAATCCAATCTGTGCTTTCTGTCTTACATTTTCACGTAGGAGATTACCATTTGGTGTTGTCTTGTAAATCCAAGATAAACTTCTGCAAATGTCCAGGAAAACTGTCACGCAAAAGTCCATTTCACAGAAATCCATGGCAGGCGGCTGCTGCCCTAACGGCTGGCTAGCACTAAACTTGTTTTTGCTGCCTAATGCCTCAGGGTCATCATCATTCTTTTGTCCTTGTTCCATTTGCCTTCTTTCTAAAGCCTTTTTCACATATTCACTGCTTGAGTTGCCTGTTCACATGTGCACCTCTCGGCAGGAGACTTTCTCTGTAGCTCGTGTCAGAGGGGGGTCTCATGAGGCAGGACATGACGTAATAAAAAAAGACGACGAGGTAATGGTAGACAAAGCAAACAGTCTCACACTATGATGGCAGTTTGTATCCTTGCGTGTGTGTGAAAGCACCATAAAGGTATAATCCTATTTTTTTCCAAATCAGAAAACCAAAGGAAATTAATTTATCTAAACTGGATTTTTCATTTTGTCTTTTTCAAGTGATTAGGATCATTTGCATTCTGGGTAACCTTTTTTTTTCTTCCAGCCTGTCCTGATCAATATTCCTTGTGCTCACTGTCGCAGGTTCGCCTGTTAACGGCGAAGCGTCCTCCCCGCCCCCAGCTATCAACGACAACCGACCATCCGGCGACAACCTGGACACCATCTTGTTCCAGCTCCGCCAGGTGACCAGGGAGAGGGATGAGCTCCGTAAGCGTCTGGCGTTGGCGTCGCCTGGGACCACCTTCGACGACTGCAGGTGCAAAATCCTGGCAGGCCTGCCAAACTGTCATTATTACTGTATTCTCCTTCTGGTATCACTTTAATATTTGGCTGCTGTCTACTGTAAATGACGTTGGGTCATTTTATGCTTAAATGAAATCTATCTGGCCCAACTGGTGACTCTGACCTGAGACTCATTGATTTCAGAGCAGGATAGTTCACCTTTAGTGATATTTACTCCCACTAGATGATTTCAGTCATTGTGCTGTCGGTGACTTCAGCTCTGGCTGACATGTTTATTTCTCCTAATTCTCTGTGGACTGGAATAATGTTGACTCTACCTTGCAGAAATAGGGCACTGACACTGGCTGCTTAATTAAACTTCATGTGCTCCACTTAACAGATGTTTATTTTGTAACAGTTGATACACTGCTGCATTACTGACATTCACTGTTTACATTTAGTCTAAGATTTTATTCCTATCTTTTAAATTCCTATGCAAGGCTAAGACCAACTATGTATTAACTATCCTGTTATCTGAGCTTTATTTGGCCTCATTGTCATACAAGGCTGCTGGCTAGAGCGATCATTTCTTTTTTCTATTTTTTTTTTTTTCACCTAAAGGCCTAATTCAAAACCCAGTCATGACTACGAGCGTCTGAAAAGTCAATGCATGAGAGCCATGGCAGATCTGCAGTCTCTCCAGAACCAGCATACCAAAACACTAAAGAGGTGCGAGGAGGCCGTGAAAGAGGCCGACTTCTACCAGTAAGTATTCCAAGTGCTATGCTGCTTTTCTCTTGTTGCAAAGGAAGGGATCTTAATAGTCTATCAATTCTAGTCTTATTGCAATGTGCCTGAAGGCAGTGATGAACGCAGGTCCGAACTTTTTTTTTTTTTCAGTGCAAAGGGTAGGAGCTTAGGATGAGCATTCTGTCACCTCCCTCCTGCTGCTTTTCAGCCCAGAAACAATTACGTTTTATTGCATTATTTTACTGGAATTGTAGCGAGCACTGTCGTGGTGTTACAATTAACCTAATTGGAAGAACATCCCTTGGAGCTACAGCTGGTGCTCACATTTGAAAGAGAATTGAAAAAACAGAAGTCCGTGATTTAAAAAAAACCTGGAAATGGATTCATTTATGTGATTGAGTCATTCAATCTAACAGCTCATATAAGCTGCAGCTAAAATTCTGCTGCAGAGGCTCAGGCTGAACATACTCTGTGTTAGCTGTTTGAGACTGTTAGCTAGTTGGCATGTTGTTTAGCATGAAGAAGAAGAAGCAGACAATGACTTGTAAAATTAAGTTGAATTAAATCCTACTTCAGTTGATATTTTGGATTGAACTTGGGTAACAATTTTGCCTCCACACAAGTGAAATAAAAACAGTAAATCTAGGCATGTTTAGTTAGTTTGTGGTTTGCCTCTTAAAGCTCATGGAGGGGTTATTAGCTAGTCCTGAAACAGAATCAAATTAATATCAGTGCCTCTTTATGTCCTGCTTAAGCAAACCAGACGATCAGGATAAAGATGTATAGTTCTATACAGCGACTGCCACAGGGTAGGTGTCAGATGAAGTTATTAATGACACACTGCAGAAATAACCTTACATTCTACACAGCAACGATTAGCAAGTGATATAATTGACTGTTGAAAGAAATCAGGATGAGTGTTTTGTGTGTGTGTGTTAAAGAGCACCACTTAAACATGTATCTGCAAGAAACAGTAAAGATTTCAAATGTACCACTATGCCTACAGGGGGCGCCAGAATTGACAGAAACTGAAAGTTCCTTACTGGAGATTTGACTATTTACCATCAGTCAGGAAGAACAAAATAAGAGGAATTTGAACTCTTTCCAAAGCTGGATATTTGTAGAGTTGAATACTCTAATAGTGTCTCCCTTTTTAAATAATGTCCATAAAATAAATTACCTCTAACTTTAGTGTACATGTTGCATATTAAGCTGGCTTTAAAGCCAATGTTTACTTTGTATAATCAGCTCTCTGTCTGTTATCTTTTATTTGCATTTCGTAATCTGTCTCTCCTTATGTACACTTGTGCGTTTCCTCTTCCCAGCATGCTGCACAGCCGCGTGTTGGGTGAACAGACGCAGCTGAAGGAGGAGATGGAGACACTCAGGAGGGACAACGCCCAGCTTGTCCGGAGCACAACCACGTCAAGCAGAACTGCGAGGAGCTCAAGCGACTGCACGGTCAAGACCAGAAAGAGTTGGCCGACCTTCGGCTGCAGCAACAGCAGGTAAACAATCCACACAAACACGAGCGCACACACCCACATGTCAGTGTGGGTGTGTGCGCTAGTCTGCTATATCTGACCAGATGTTATAAGGTCATGAATTGCCTTCAGATATTTACTCATATGGCACAGGTGCTACAGCTATAAAACGAAATCAAACGTTTTTTCTGACTCTTTATATTTTGAAGTCATGCATTTCAACACCCCAAACAATATTGCCTGTTGTCTTTAATCCACTGAATACTTTGTTCTAAACAGTACAAGGGTGCTCTGACCCGTATTGGACAACTGTGCAGTACTGTCTCACACAGCACCCATGGGAACACTGCAGTGCTTAAAAGCACAGGGCAGCCAAGCAGAGGGAAGTGCATACAGAGCATTTCTGAAAAGGGCAGACGGAGAAGAAAAGGGCTTCTGCTTGGGCAAAGGGCACACTGACCCGAACCGTGTAGCTATAAGATCCGTGAATACGCAGTGTGTTGCTGCGTAGACGAGGTCAACGCAGCCCTCGGGTCACAGCAGCAGGACGACTACATCAGCTAGACCCGCAGTAATGAGACATCCAGTCCCACAGGGGATGAATAATGCAGTCTGAAGGACACTCTCTGCACATAAAACAGATCATTTTGCAGCCGATTCACTTAGTTTCTGTGCATAAATGCAAAAAAAAGGCATTGTAGACGCTGGCAAAGGATTTGCTTGCACTGTAAAAATAGAATCCTGTCTACACTTTGATGCCATCTGCTGCTTTGGGTGGGGCACAGCAAAAACAGGCTTAGCACAAAATTGCTGGAATGGCATCAACATTTCGAACCCCCTTAATAGTTGTATCATAACTTTTTGTTGTCCTTCTCAGGTAATGAGAGAGAAGGGCTCATCCGAGGTGTTGAACAAACTGTACGACACAGCTATGGACAAGCTGGAGGGGGTAAAGAAGGAGTACGACGCTCTGAGCAAGCGCTACAGCGAGAAGGTGGCTAACCATAACACGGACCTGAGCCGCCTGGAGCAGGCCGAGGAGGAGAACCGGAGGCTGCAGAAGCAGATGGACGCACTGCTCAAACAGCGAGACTCGGCCATGCACTACCAGCAGCAGTACTCCACCTCGATGCGGAGGTATGGAGCATTTCTCACCCGCACATGTAGAAAAAAACAGATGCTGAAAGGAGCCACGCTCAAGCTGCTGCCGGAATAATTCATTTTTTAAAAAATTGGTCTCCGCTCTCACAGGTTCGATTCCGTGCAACAAGAGCTGAACAAGTCCTCGGCTCAGAACAAGGAGCTTCAGAGAGAGATGGAGCGCCTGCAGTCGGAGGTGACGCGCTACAAGAACCTGCAGCTGAAGGCATCCAAGGACTGCGATAAGTTCAAAGAGGAGAGGGACTCTGTGTTCAATGAGTACCGTCTCATCATGAGCGAGAGGGACCAGGTGATCAAGGAGCTGGACAAGCTGCAGACGGAGCTGGAGGCTGCTGAAGCTCGACTGAAAAACACGTCTTCAGAGAGAGTGGTGGCCAGTGAAGAGTTGGAGGCACTGCGACAGGTATCAGGCTTGAGCATGAACACGACTTAAGTCAACTGATCAGATATAGCCAATTCAGTCGTTATTATCAAATCTCTTCTCGTAAATTCCCACAAAGAAACAAAACAAACACCTGTCAGTTTGATGTTGTCCAAAATAAATAACAGAGGCAACCAAGCATGAGAAAACAAGGAAGAGCTTACTTCTAGTGATCTGTTTTCTAAATTAAATAGTTTTCTCTGGGACGCGCTGGTGGTGCAATGGTTAGGATGCGCGTCCCATGTATTGAGACTCTCGTCTCGAGCGGTAGGCCCGGGTTCGCTTCCACCCGTGGCCCCTTTCCGCATGTCATTCCCCGCTCTCTCTCCCTGGTTTCCAACTCTATCCACTGTCCTCTCTCTGCATTAAAGGCACGAAAAGCCCAAAAAATAAATCTTAAATAGTTTTCTCTGCCTTGTTTTTAACTTAAGACTTATGATTATGTAGGAATATATGTTTTTTTTTTTTTTTTTTTTTGGGAATTAAGATAAAGTTTCCCTGGACATACACTAAATAGAAGAAGCAAACATTAACAAATCGAGGAGCAATAAGGCTTCACATCCTTTCAACTAACAATGAGCAAATACATAGGCAGAAATGACTGTCCTGATTCCCAACAAAGTTCATTGTGAAGAAAAGGCAGTCTAAGCTGAAAGTCTGAGGCACTCTGATGCAGTATAGAAATCATTTTATTAAACACAGATGTTTCTACGCGTTTTGACTCAACTTTGTCAGGACATAAAAGACAAATAAAAAAAAACAGGTGTTTAAATACAAAAAGGCTGTCACATGACGTCTGTTTATTAACTGTTTGACCTCTGTCCCCTATCCTTGAAGAGCACTTGATTCCTCTACATTTTCTGACCCAGTGCAGCTTCAACCTTTTTCAAATAACTATGAGCAATTTCGACCTAAAAAGAATAATTAAAAAAAAAAGTAGATTAAACATGATGGATGTTCTGTGTTCACAAATTCAGATCTCAGAGGTTTGACATGTTGCACCCAATTTACCCAAAGTGATCTAAACATCTTAGACTTTAAATATAAAAGAGATAGTTACCTTTTATTATGTATTAATGTCCATTGTTCCATCTCTACCAGAATTATTTTTTAGTAAGACAAATAATTGAGTTGGCTTCAGAGGTTCTGGTTTGTAGATTTAAAAAAAAAAAAAAAAAAAATCTCTTACCAAGCCAAGCTAGCTGTTTACCCCTGCTTTCAGTGGTTATGCTGAGCTAAGCTAACCAGCTACTTGCTCAGGCTACATATTTACTGTGGAGTCACATTCTTTTTATTGAACTCGCAGTAACAGAGCACATAAAGTTATTTCGCCAAACACATAAACTCATGTCACATAAACTTATTTCACCCAATGTCTAAAGTTTCCGATAGCTGAGTCAAAATTAAATGATTGAAAGTTTCACACATAACTTTTCTAGTCATTTTGAATCCCTCACAGTTTCCCCAAGAGACACATCTTACTGACAGATACTGAGTTAACCGTTTCCTCTGTGAGAATTTTATATCAACCTGTCAGGTTTTTAGTGCGTCTGTTCACAACTTGAGCCAGATATCTACTCTTTAGTCAGTGGATCAAAGGCCATATTCACCAAGGACACTGCATAAAGAAGCTCAGCTCCACCAGCCCTTTTTTGAAGAATATTACTGCACTCTCTGGTTGACAGACAAAAGAGATTCCTAACTCGTGTTGGATCACTCTGCGTTGGCCCTCGGATAGTTTCTTCACATTGCATTAATGACTCACAGTTCCTGAGATGCCCTCGTTCCATTTCACCCCCTTTGTTCTGTGGCAGGAGTTGAACTCGTCGCTTGTGGACCGCGACCGGGCCATCTGCGAGAGGAACGAGCTTCTGGAGAAGTACTGCCACGAGGTGAAGGACAAGGCCGAGGCCCAGAAGGAGCTGAGCCAGGCCTGCAAGGACATCGAGATGGTCCGGGAGGAGAGGGACGTGGCTCGCAAGGAGAGGACGGAGGCCATCATTCAAAGGGATCAGCTGCTCAGAGAGTACTACCAGGCCAGACAGGTAACAAATGCACTGCACCTTAGGTTTGATAGCGTAAAGTCAGAGGTTACACACATGACGTGGAGCTTAGTGCATCCATGAAGCTGTCAGTCAGTGGATTACAGGAGGTCAGTGGTCTGACAGGAAAGTGTCACACCTCTGCCTGGACCTCTGTTGGCCCACAAGATAACCCTTCTTAAAAAAGCTGCAGGGGGTCTTGTCATTTTTACTTCTATACATCTAGCTGTGCATAGAAAGCCAAGGTTTTGGCTCGTAATCATTTTAAATAATCATAATTATTAAACGGCAGGACCAATCCAGCGGTCACTTCGGGAGACATATTCCCGTTCATGAGAATATTAAGACAAAGAGTCGGAAGAGAAAACTGAGTGTGTCATAGAATATCTCCTAGATTTACATTTTTGTGATTTTTTTCTTTTTCTTGTATAAGTTTCAACAATCCAAACCTTGTTGTTTGTTCTCATAAAGTGACTGTGTTTAAAGCAGCCAGAAAAAGCTCAAGCTACCTTTTAGCTACCAGCAGATTAGTTGTTCCAGATTTTAATGGTGATAGAAAGAAAAACTGCTTTTAGATTAAAAAAAAAAAAAAAAGATTAATGAAGCACAGGTTGCAAACGTAGGTATCATGTCAAACATGTAGAGCATCAGGTAGAAATAAATTAAAATCAATCTGTAATGGACCATTTTTCCTGTTTTTGTGATAGAGCTGTTTGTTTGGATTGAGTAGGATATAGATTATGTTTAATTATCATAGGAGCAAAGGTTTAGTATGAACTTTTTTTTCACCCTGTATCCTGAAAATGGTCCTGCAGTGAGTCATTATTAATCTCATTCATGTATGCTCTTTGTCCTAAGAAACAAGACTCGGCCACCCTGGACATGGAACGGGCCAATAAGGAGATCGAGATGCTGAGGAAACAGTACGAGGCCATGTCGCAGGAACTGAAGGAGGCGACGCAGGAGGCAGAGGTTGCCAAATGTCGACGGGACTGGGCCTTTCAGGAGAGGGACAAAATAGTGGCGGAGAGGGAGAGCATAAGGTCAGTGTGCGAGTCAGTTTGGTAATGAGTCCTGACAGAAACTGAAGGCACGTACTGTGTTATCGATCTAACACAATCAACTGGCTATAACTGCTCCTGCTCATACACCGGATCCCTGATTCTCTTATCGTCTCTCTCCTCTTCATCTTCAGGACTCTGTGTGATAACCTGCGGCGGGAGCGAGATAGGGCAGTAAGCGATTTGGCAGATGCCCTGCGTAATCTGGATGATATGAGGAAACAGAAGAACGATGGGCTGCGAGAGCTCAAAGAGCTGAAGTGAGTATGAAGCCTTAGAGGGTTTGAAATGTATAGGAAACGCTTACCGAAGGAACCCAAGGACAGTTCTTCTGCAATGCACCGAGCACATTGCCTCTGCTAAGCAAACATCTTGTGCTGCACCGTCTTTGTCCATTCGAGCCGTTGTACTCAGTGTGTGGCAGTGTGTAAACTGTGATATTCTGCCTTCGGAGACTTCATAGTTGTTTGTCTGGCACTATTTCTGCATGCCCGGATTAAAAGTGTAATCCGGAGAAGCAGCACTGTTTTGGACACACATACTCACATTTCTCACTCTCTCTCTTCCCCCTCTGCCTTTTAACGTGTTCATACTGCATGCAAAAGCTCCCTCTGCTGGCTGAAGTGTATACTACAACCAATTTTCGAGGCAAAGCTTTGAATTAAGTTTGCCGTGACTTTGAGAGTTTCCCTCCCTACATCCTGTAAAGGACAATATTATATTGGGGTTTTAATGTCACAGCTACCCTTAAGGCATGCCTCAGCAGAACACCATATATCTTCCTGACAGTGGGGCATTGTGTGCGTTCTACTTTTAGTTTTCTTACGAGCCAATATCAATATGATTCCCTTTACTAGAATACAGAGAGTTTTTTTGTGGGGGAGTGCCACAAAAAAATCAAGGTCAAAAGTCAAAAACTCTCCACATGTCTGCAGGTTATTTTATTCCACACAGAAGAAAATCACAGTGTGCATATTTGTTCATGCAAATTCAATCCAGAATAAAAGAATGAATCAACAGAATTAGACAAAGACATTAAGTAGCACGGTCAAAACAATGTGTGATTATTACCATATAACTCAGTTGAATTTGTACCAAGCAGAATAAATCTGTTTTTTATGGATACAAAATCTGTAAAATTGAAGGTATTAATCCATGGGGCAAAATATGACTTGCAGACATTTTGAAGAGATAAAGGAAGCTGGGATCTAGCCAACAACAACAACAGTGTCTAAAGATTTGTACTTCCCAAATGTTTGCATGTAATTAACCTTTTGAGAGAAATATTTTTGGATGCTACAGCAGTACTAAAATACTGGGACTATATAACATACAGAAGTAAATTGTGGCTTTGGTTCAAACATTTAAAGTTTCCAGTGTTCAGACTGGTAGTGCGATCCTTTCTCTGTGTTGTCTCCTCCTATCTGAGTGACTAACCTTAGAACCCTGTGTCCATGTCTGTCTTTGTTTAGGGAGAAGATGGAGAGCCAGCTGGAAAAGGAGGCCCGGTTCTGTCAGCTTATGGCCCACAGCTCACACGACTCGGCCATCGACACGGACTCCCTGGAGTGGGAGACGGAGGTGGTGGAGTTTGAGAAAGACAGGGTAAGAGCGGGCGCTCAGCTCTTATTACTGAGGGCGACTTGGTGACACGCCACGTCTCCTTAGAGCCAGAAGAGCTTTAAAGACTGCCAAAAGTTGATGATATTGAAATGAGGATGTCAAAATGAATGGATATGTACTGACGTTTATATTCTCGTCCTTTGCAGGAGGACATGGATTTGAAGGCACTTGGGTTTGATATTGCAGAGGGGGTAAATGATCCTTATTTACCAGGAGATTGTGGAATATTTGTTACGAGGGTGGACAAAGGAAGTATCGCGGATGGAAGGTTAAGGTACGAGCAAATGTTATCATAGTTTAGAATTTTTCATTTTTTTTGGTTTCAATTCCAGTTTAGTTTTAAATAGTTTTTAATACTGATTTTTAAGTTCCCCATAAACTACAATAAACTTTATTAAGAGCAGCCTCAAAAAGCTCTTATTTGTCCCTTTCTCTTAACGCTCATGTGAGGAGTTTTTACCTGATTGTGATTCAGATTGAATTAATATTTATGCCTCAATGAGCTCCAAAAGCAAACAAGAAAACCGGCATAAATAAGAGCTTTTTCTGTGATGTTATTTATTATGTTGTTAACGGCCTGCCTTTGAATGACCCATGTCGAGGATTCTTGATGAGTGATACATTTGACTTTTAAAAGAAAGCAGGAGGCTTTATGTTAAGAAACACTACCTACTCATGTACTGGACAGATTCAGAAGTGACCACTTTGTCCACAGGGGGGCGCCAAAACCGACACAAACCAAAAGTTCATCACAGGACCTTTAAAAGTGAATTAATAAAAGTCTCACTGTGCACGCTGTTTCTGCTACAGAGTGAATGATTGGTTGTTGAAGATCAACGACATGGACCTGACCAATAAGGACAGGAAGCAGGTGGTGAAGGCGGTCCTTAATGTCGGAGGTTTGATCAACATGGTGGTACGAAGGAGGAAGTCTCTTGGAGGGAGGCTGGTCACTCCGGTTCACATCAACCTGGTGGGACACAAAGGTAGATTCTGGTGCTAAATTCTAAAGAAATTTGTCTCATTATTTTGTTGTTGTTTTTTTTTTTTGTATCTGAACCCATTTTCTCCTCGGTGCCTCAGACAGTGGAATCGGTCTGGAAAGCGGCGTGTTTGTCACCGCCCTCACCCAGGGTAGCCCAGCAGCCAGGGAAGGTGCTCTCACAGTTGGTGACAGGCTGATCGCTGTGAGTCTTGTTTTGCTTTTCATGAAAATCCTTTTTTAATAATTATATATATATATTTATACCCCCTTCCTCCACATCAGCTCACACAGACTCCTTTGGCTTTCTAATCCAGGCCTCGCTCCTTTCAAGTATCCACACCCCAAACCCCCTCAGATAAGGTGGGATTTGGTTGAGTGTGTGAAGTCGAGGAGTAAAGTCTCCTCCTTTGATTAAATCCTCAAAAAAAAGTCTGCAGAGGCCTAGGTGGAGCTGCTGCTTCACACACACACACACAGTGCAACACACTCGTACATGAAGGGATGGAATAAAAGTGTCAGTAATGGGGCTACACAGCTTTGTCATTAGCGAGAGAGAGAGAGAGAGAGAGATGAGGTCACCTTTACAAAGTTAATCTGCCTGTAGCTTCAGAATCTTAACTCCCTTGTTAGTTTAAATTAAGCATGAAACCCGTGCATAACCTTTAAATCCCAAAGAACTTCCATATCTCTGCTCCCCAATTAACAGAGTCAGATACAGTTAACATGATAGTTCTGCTGCAACCACGCTCAGCAATTCTAAGTGCAGATGACGTGTAAGGAGATCTTAATCGTGAGTATTGTGTTTTTTCATGCTCCTCTGATCACCCTATCAGGTTATGTAACACTTATTAAATGCTAATATGCCTTTAAAAAGTCCAGAGTGCTGAATCTGCAATGAAATATGCATCACATGCCACTGGATGTCGGTAGTTGAACTCAGAGAGGCTAAAAAAAAAAATGTATCGGACATGTTCTTAGTAAGGGCAGAACCTATTTTCAGATAGCTTTAACATATTACTCACTTTGGTTTGCACCTTCATATCTCTGACTGTTTAAAAAAAAGTCTCCTAAGCAGAGCCCATTGTGATGGAAATATGCAGATTGCAGTGTTCTTCAGACTTAAAAGTGCTGGCCTAGATTTTTTATTTTTTTGTGTGTGTTTTCCACACGGCAGCAGAGCGAGGCACATCTCAGGCCCCAGGCTCACTCCTGATCAGGAGATCCGTCACCTGTATGTGTTCGTAGGCGTGCATCTGACACATCTACAAACACATAGAGGCGACAGGTATAACCGCCTCGAGCCTCGGAGAAGTATCATGAGTTGAACTTGCTTTGTTTTTTCGCGTTGAAGGACCTGTCCTTATTTCCGATGTCTTTCTCCCCAGATAAATGGCATCGTCCTTGATAACAAATCTGTGACAGAGTGCGAGGCTCTGTTGAGGAGCTGCAGGGACTCTCTCAGCCTCTCTCTCATGAAGGTGGGCCACCTCTTTCCTTCTGAGCTCCTTTTTTTTTTTTTTTTTACTTCAGCTATGTTAGACATCTTTAAAAGCTCTCCCTCTAATTTTGCATGCCCTACATTGCAGTTTTAAAAACTTCCACATTGCAGTTTTGGAGAAGTAAATGATCTCCTCATTACCAGTTAATTTTCCAGAGTATCATTTAAAATGATGTCCATTAAACTGTTGCTAATTCCGTCATCCATCCTCCCCGCACAGTTCTTCCCTCACAGCACATCGGGCCAGAACATCTTTGAGAGTCTGCGCGATTCATCGGAGAAGTCCAACGGGCGCCTTCACCCGTCAGAGATTCACTCCCGCAACAGCCGCAACCTCAAACACAACAGCTCGACGCAGACTGACATCTTCTGCCCGGACGTTGGGAGCACCAGCACAGGTAGCATCTCCGGGGAGAGGAGGAAGGTCAGAGGAGAATCAGACGAGGCGTACAGCGACATCAGCAAGCCGTTCTCCACGGGTTCCCTCCACGCCACCAGCCTGCGGCCGGCCTCCGACTTGGGCACCGGGCGCTATGGGCCCAGCGCTTTCCAAGAGTGCTGCCCCTACACTAAGGCGCCTTCCTCCCTGCCCTTTGATCCCGTCTCTGCCTCAGACTGCATCACCGTGGAGACGACTCTGGAGAAGAAGCACAGTGGGGGAACATGGCCCAAAATGATTGTTGGAGGTATGTCAGTTGCACCAGACAACAGCAGCCCGATCACAGTAGCAGCCCAGCTCTCCATCTACAAATCACCCAAACAGAGGAAGTCCATCTTTGACCCGGACACTTTCAAACGCCCCGAAACACCGTCCTCTAAGATGGAGTACATGGCAGCAAATCAGATCGCAGCCGCTGCAGCCTCACACTCCCCTCAGCCTTCAAAGACAGAGTCCCTCTCCTCGTCATCCACCCCTACCCCGACCCCTCCGACCCCGCCCACTCGCAGTGACTCCTTTAAGTTCAAACACAAGCATCAGAGCAGCTCCGCCTCCGACTGCACCATCACGTCAGATGGCAAGGGAGAGGCCGCCATCTCCATGGCAGCGGGAGAGAGCAGAGAGAGGAGCGAGCGGGAAAGGGACAGGAACGGAAACCACTATTTTCTGGACGGCAAGGTGCTCACCTCGAGGAAGTCGTGTGACGAGGACATTGGTCGAACCAGGGGGGAGGAACCAGAGGTGAAGAGGCCCCGCCCTAAATCTGCCCCCGCCCTTCGCCGTAGGATGACCCCGCAGACCATCACGCTTCCCACCTTCCAAGTGAGTAAATTAACAATTAAAAACTTTCATACTTTAAGCCAAATGATTGCCTTCTAGTATTAAACCTGAGGCTTAATGCGTTGCAATTCCACCTCTGAAAATGTCAAACTTTTTTTTTTTTATCCCTGCACCAATTCAAGCGGCTTTATTAGAAGCTTTTCTAAAGAGAACACGATCCATTTTACAAGTGTTTGAATTTAAAATGGCACCAACATTTCAAATTATCCCAGTGGGCCAAAGAATCCATTTTGTAATAGAATTTACAGCCTTGTCAGAGTTGTGCTTCTGGGACTTGCCTCTTTAGCCAGCGTGTCGGAGTGATTGATGCTTCTGCACTGGTACAGCCACACAGCCCAGGAGCTGAGTCAGTGCCTGGGGCCTCTCCAGGCCGTGAAGCACACGGCAGAAAGCAGTGGGGGGGATAAATGTTCATTTGACTGTAGCGGGATGTTCATGCTGTCATTTTTCTCATATGGTACTTGTCTCCAGTAAAAGGGTGAAGGGTTCTTCCTTAGAGATAATGGTGTTTTGTGACCATGCAGGGCAGATGGTAACTGTTTCTGTCATTCCTCACAGAGCTACTCTAACGACGAGCATTCGCCGGAGCCCAGGGACATGCTGCGTTCCTCCCCCAGCCGCTCCCACAGGCACAGCGTCGGCTTCGTCCCCACCGTCTACAACGGCTCCCTACCTCCCAGTGAGTTTGTCAAATGTTTACATTAAAAAAATAAAAAAAAACACACTTAAATGCACTCGGAGGAATCGCACACTCGCAGCTCTCCTAACATGGCGGCGCGCTTTATCAGATTCAGCCCACAGGGGTCTGGCTCCGTGCCCGCTGTGACGGCCGTGATGAGGAATCCAGTGTACACGGTGCGCAGCCACCGCGTTCACACCAGCAACTGTCCATCTGTCGCCTCGCAGATCTGTCACCAGCACTCCCACACCAGGTTAGCTCCTTTCGCACTCACACGACACAGAGCCCGTTATTATTATGAAGACTTTTCGATCAGTTTGTTTCCCAATTGCAAAATCTCATGATTACATTTGGTTGCTGCGGTTGCTTTTTTTTCCCTTCATTTTGCAGTGTTGTGATTTTGCTCGCCCCAGCATTTCAATTAACCTTGATCTGTGAAATATCCTGCATGTTTCAGTAATTCTGTAAACATAATTATTGAAATGTTTTCTCAAGAAATCTTTTTTTTTTTTTTTTTTTTTTTGTTTGTTTTGTTTGCAGCCCACAGCACCAGGGTCGCCTGAGCCTGGACCTGAGCCAGCAGAAGCGTGCGGGCGAATACTCTGAATCCTCGTCGTCACGCAGCAGCAGAGCGTCACACGGTACAAACTCACTGCCCTCCAGCGCTCGACTCGGTCAGTCCGACACGCACGCACGCACACACATGCTCGCACACATCAAAAGGTCACAGACTGGATGTCCCTATGTCGGCCTTTTTTTCTTCTTTTTTTTTGGGATATTATGTCATTCAATTAATTCCTTTATCTTCTCGTCCATCTGTCAGGTTCTTCCAATAATGTCCAGTACCGCACAGAGAGGATCAAAATCCCTTCCACTCCACGCTACCCTCGCTCCATGCTGGGGTCAGACAGAGGTACTGTGCTCCTTTGAGTATGTGTCCTAACTTCCAGGCCTGGTTTTGCTTTGTCAGGGGTGACGAGTATAAACATGTTTGTGTTTTTTAAACTTCAGATGAAGCTTTTACAGAACTGGCAGACGGTCTACATGAGCCAAATTAAAGTTCAGCCTCTCTTATGAACAACTGAATCAGGCAGTTTTCAAACAACTTTCTTCATCCCAACAGGGGCAGTTGATGTGTTGTAGCTTGTACTTAACAGTACAACATGCAAATCACATTATATATTACCTTTTTGTAAATGTGGAAAATGGTCCAAAATGAATACGGAATACTGAATGAATACGTTAGTTAACTGCTTTTACCCTCTTAATCTTTTTTTAAGTCTCTGGTTTCTTCCGCAGTATTACCCTTTTCTTCACGGCAAACATGTAAATATGCATATGACTGTGTAAGAGAGAAATGAAAGTAATGTCTCCATTTGAAAAAAAAAAACCCCTGGTAACTTCAAACCCGAACCTTATTTCTTGTTTACATATTTTTTTAGTCCCTATTTTATTTTACATTAACTATAAGTAAACAATCTTTTGATCATCCATTATGAAACCAAGCTTCCATGCAGATGAATAAACCAAAAGACACACTTTTCCAACAGTAGGCTCGGGTAGTAATATCTGCAAATACCCTGCCACTTCATTTTTCATTAGGATGAGATTTGGTGTTTACCTTCCAAACATTATTTAAAGTGTCTGAAGTTTGCAACTGGTTTTCCAACTCTATATTTTCTTGAGATGTAAATGTAGTCTTAGACCACACTTCTTCTTTCTCTCTCTCTTTCTTCTCCTCTTCCCCTCACTCCAGGCTCCCTCTCTCACTCCGAGTGTAGCAGCCCCAGTCTCATCACTCCACCACAATCACCACTCAATCTGGAGACCTCCTCGTTCGCCAGCAGCCAATCGCAAGGCTCCATTTCCACTTTACCTCGGATCTCGGTCAGCCCTGTGCCGATAGGGGAGCGCAGGAAAGACAGGTATGATGGAAAAGGGCAATCACAGATCGACTTTTTATTTATTTTTTTTAAAGCAATTTAGAAAATGACTAATTGGAGGATTTATCTTCACTTTTTTGATGTAGCATGTTGCTGAATGCATCAAATAGACTTGTTGCTGGGATTTTCAGACCTTTTCTTTGTCAGAATAATAGTAGTTAGAGCTTTCGGTTTTCTTTTTCTAACCACACATCTGCTTTACAGATGGTGCAGATGTTGTGTGAATGATGGAGAGTATGATTACAAGGATCACTTCAGAGGCGGATACTATATGGCCTACGTCTGCCCTTAGGGATCCTCCTAGGCTATTTGAAGAGGCGTTGCCAGGCAACAGGTCTATCACCGCCTGAGCTGTGCAAGCCCTCATTGAAATTCAGAATGAAATCCTATTAAAACTCTAGTTATAATTTTCCGGAAGCCTCTTGCTGTTTTTTTTTTTTCCGCAAAAAGAGGAAGCAGTGATCTGTCAGTATGTTGGAGTTTTGACGTTTCTGTCCCATTTTGGATCACCGACGCCTCGTTGTCTTTGACGCTGTTACTGTCTCTGTATGATATCTGTCCCCCCCACCCCCCCACCTGTTCTCTTTTATCTCCTTCCCGCTTTCCTCTCTGCAACTTCTCCGCTTCCAGATCTCTTTACCGTAACAGATCTTTTCTAAGGATTCCTCTGGCTGCAAGGCCGAGGTTCTCCTCTCTCAGGAGCCTCAGGTTCGTTATCCATCAAAGTGCTAAAATCAAGGGAATGCTCCCCTTCCTTTTCCTCCAAGTTCACGTCGTTGTCATGCTTCAGTGCTGTCGAGGACATAACACAAAGGAGCAGAATAGTGTTGTACATTATATTTGATACAAAATGAGGATTTGTGATGTTTTTCCCCTTTTTTTTAAAGAGTTTTTTTTAAATCCCAGATGTCTACTTCTTTGCATGCTACAGTACTGTATTAGCGCTGTTAGAGATAGCCCTGATTAGCTTCCCTCGCTGAAATGAGAAGTTTCAGTGTTATGTTGACATTACCGCATTCGACTCCCTCCATGCCGGAAACCCTCTCGAAGCATAGATACTGCATGCAGGGTCCATGCTCTATCATGACATGGACAATATGCATGCATTTGTTTTGGCCGCGAGCCAAGTCACCCGTTAGTCTGCAGTATGTATGTTATGCAATGGTATTATTATTCAGCCCCGAGCTTCAGGGTCATGGTCTTGTTTGTACACCACCACTCTGTTTACCCCCCGTCTCTGGCTGCTAATCCATTCCTCTGATCTGCCATCATGGATTTGTATTCCATGTCCAAAGCCAACTTGTTTTGAAGACGCCCAAAGTCCATGCAAATCTCCTTCATGGAAAGGGATTCACTTGCTTGTGCTTTTAGGATGTCCACACACACCCTCCAATGTACCTTCAGTCTGTCTTTCTTCTGTAAGCAGGCGAAAAGTGGTGTTCTGGCGAGATGATCAGTTTACAGGCCTGGGGGGAAATATAAGATCAGGGTTGAACTTTACTTTAAATCAAAGTACATCTTCAGACAGATAATGTTTTTAATTCTTACAACCAGAGATAAATCCAGGGATTTTTTATTGGCAACTCTCCAGAGCTGTAAATAAAACATCAACTTGCTCCTGTGTGGTATCCTCTTAACTGCTTCTCTATGACGCTCTTCATTCATACACATTTCTCTTTCCCATAAGGCCGTACTTGGAGGAACCCCGCAATGTCATTGTGCACAAAGGTGCAGAGCCGCTGGGCATCTCCATCGTCGGCGGGGAGAACGGTGGGATCTTTGTGTCTAAAGTTACTGGAGGTAGCATCGCCCACCAGGCCGGATTGGAGTATGGAGACCAATTACTGGAGGTATGAGCCACCTACTGTATGTCGAGAAAGGTTAGAGCTTCAAACTGCACGAATAAAGAAGCACATAATAGAAGCACTGCAGATGCACGTCAGAGAGCAGCAAAACGCTGGAGAAGTCAAACACTAATACTGCTTTTATATTGTGGCTTCAAAGGCTGCTGCCTACTATACATATATATATGTGCAGCTTCACTTCCTGGAAGACTGTATTCATTAATGTTGTCACAGTTCCCAGTATTTAAATTCTTGCTGAAACGCATTCATTGAAAGAAATGGCTGAGCAAATTGAATTTCTGGTGCAATGTCAGATCAAGATGACATGTACTTTTTCCTCTTAGATGGTACACAGTTTGAATGTTTTGGACAATGAATGATAAGTTCATCCTAGCAGAACTAATCAGGGACTGAGGCCATGTGAAGACCCACATTGCAAATACATCATTTGGCATTACCAGATGTATACGACTGGTTTTAAGGAAGTCTGGCCATCAAAAAAAAAAAACCCAGTTAGAACAAAGACATATTTGCAGTCTGAAGAAAATGTGGTTGAACACCAAAATCAAAACATCTGTCTCGATCAGTAAGCTTTGCCAACAAAAATCTGATTTCAAAAGTGTCTTTTGCAACACTCAATTTTCCAACATACTAAAAAATCCAGCTTGCCTAAAGTACCAGATTGCTAGTTGCAGCTTCAGTGCGTCTACTAGTAGAGTGTGACACTTTTCTTATCGTCAGAGCACTAAATGTTAGAGATAAAAAGAGGACACATGTTCAACTCAGTAGTTTGCAAGTTAATATAACTTTTGAAATCTGTGACTATCCAGTTTAATCATGATATGTTTGAATTGACTAAAATGCATCCTGTCGAGAGTTGAAAAGAAAACGACGGAATAATATTGCACTTTTTTAAGTGTTGAAAAATGGATACAAAACTAATCATCAGTCAACAGAAATGAGTATCTTCATCTCTAATCACTGCTCATGACTTAAAACCAGTAACAGACTAAACACACACTGTGTCTCTGTGTCTATGATCTGTTAGTAATCTCATCTTTCCTGGAACTCTCTCCCTCATCCCACTTTTTCTCTTTCTTTTTAATTTACTAGTTTAACGGCATCAATCTGCGGAACGCCACGGAGCAGCAGGCTCGTCTCATCATCGGCCAGCAGTGCGACACCATCACCATCATGGCCCAGTACAACCCGCACATGTATCAGCTGGGCAACCACTCTCGCTCCAGGTAACAGGAGGTTTCTCAAAGGTTTGCCTCACGATGTTCAGTGTGGTTCTTAGTGTCCCAGGGGTGCTGCTCGGATGATTCATGAGTCAGCTCCATTAAGTGTTTCGGTTTAGCATGACTTGCACATTTATATTTCTTTACATGGCCAGGTGTAGAACCAGCGAGGCTCCATGATATATTTTCATTGCTTACACACTCTTACTTGTAGCTGAGTTAACACAACAGAATCTGTGGAGCAGCAGCTGTTCAGATACGTAGGTGCTAAGTGTTAACTGTAAAGCCGTTTGTCTCAAAATTGCTGTGAGCAGTCTGCAACTTTTTTTTAAATTTCTTGCTATTTATAGGTTACAGTGCAAATTTATCAGCATCAATGTTAATATGCTCGAGGTAGCTGTAAATGTCTTTAATCTGTTGTACCTTAATGTCCACTGTGATAAATAATGTGCAGTGAGATTGAGCCTTCTTGAAAGTGTATTTGAATTGAAATGCATTCCACAACTCTTCTCCAGTATGCCATGCTTCATTCACAACACTTTGCTCTGAGTAACTGCATATAGCATGACGTAGCGGGAACAGCAAACTAACTGTTCTTTTAAAGATGGTAATCCAGATCTTGACTTTTTTGGTGCTTATAAAATAAGTTATCATTACTGTAAGAGAGCCTTCTCTTAAACAGGGAGTGTGTGCATAACATATCAACTTATTTTGGGAAAGAACATAAGCCACTTTGTGTGATGTCATTTTACTATTGGGACTAACACATTTCTTTTTCATGTCTTGTGAAATTTTGGGCAGCTCCCGCCTGGAGCCAGTCAGCACTCAGTCGACCCCCCAGGGGAGCGGAGCTGCCACGCCCGACAATCACTCCACCATCGATACACTCAGCGAGCAGGACGAGGGCACGCTCACCCCCTCCTCCAAGCAGACCACGCCCACCACCAGCCCAAACAATTTCATCAGGTATCACAAACATTTAACCACAGGGGGGAAAAAAAAACAGCTCAATGATAAAATGTTGGGGGTGAGAGAAACGCTTCCTCCATGCCTGGAGGGTTGCACTTCAGTAACTTTCCCTTTGCTCTACAGAATGCCATCTGAGGGCAGCAGGAAGCTGGCTGAGCCTCGGCTTGTGACGGTGCGCAGGCCGGGGGTGGAGGTGGGAGTCACGCTCTGTGGAGGGAACCTGCGGGGCGTCTACATAGACAGCCTTGATGAGGACAGTCCAGCCAGAGGGCCTGATGGGCTGCTCCCTGGGGACCTTATCCTGGAGGTATGAGCACAACTCAAACTTACAAGTAGACAACACATCCTGATGCCAAAGAAATTCTTCACACATACCAGGAGATTGCATGCCTTCCATCGGTATTTCCTGAATTTTTCCATATTTTATTGTGTTACTACAGAAATCAAAATGGATTTTTTTGTGGTTAATGTCAAGGACGAACTAAAAAGGTTCAGAATTTGAAAAATAATTGAGAAGGAATTGGGAAATATTGCAGTGTATTCAAATTATTTACAAATCTACTCCCCAACGTTTCCTGTCTCTCTTCAGCTGTTCTATCTAATAAAGGCAAAAATGCCCCCTGCACCCCAAAAAAAACAAAAAAAACAAAACACAACACAAAGTACAGACATTAAAAGCGGACTGTAAAAGACAATAAAGTGTCTGTTGGATTTTGTTCAGGGTGGTTATTGCAGAGGGAATAGGATGCTCTTTTCCCACCAAACAGTTTTATTAAAAGTTTCACACAATCTAAAACATTTTCAATGCCACAAAATAAGTGTTATTTTTATTATAGGTGGACAAAAAAATCAACCACTTTAATAAGAAAACGGAAGAAAAACAGGAAACAAACATAAGCAAGCATCCCCTTACAGTGGTCGTTTTATGTTACTTTAGCCGACTGGAGGGAAGGTGAATACTTCTCCGAGGCTCTATACGCTTCAGCTTCACAATATATAGTGATTGAAAAAAAAAGAAAGAGTTTTGAAGGTTCAACTTTGTTGTATGTTCCATTTTTCAAATACTTTAATTTTAGGCTGATTGGTAGCTCGGAGAAAGATCTTTTTTGAAGTAGGCGTTTGTGTTCAGTGTCCTAAATGGACGTGCTGTAGGTTTTATAAGACAGTAAAGACTTGTAGGCGTTCCATCAGTTTTTGGACTAATCTCAAAGCTGAACTCTTCCTGTATAATCTGTTGTGAAGCTTTGTGTGCTGTTGTTGCTTTACACTCTCGAGCACTGCCAGAAGGAGCTGGCACTTCTCTCCTCGCCTGTCATTATTCTCCATTGATCTCCTCGTCTGCATTCTCTCGCACTCCACGCTGGCGATCCATCCAGAGCGCCACAAAACTCATAATAGACAATTCCTGGCATGCTCCCACTTAGCTCTCCGGCACAAAGGCTCTGCTCTCTGAATTGCTATGCAGCGTTGTCATCGGGGGCCGCACAGCATCAGTGTGTCCTTCAATCTCCCCATCTTGTTTTTTTTTTTTTTTTCCCTCCCCCGTACATGGCATGAATCAATACTGCGACACTTTAATACAGCGGAAAGCTTGGAGGAAATGTAGCTGTTTACTAGTGGAGCCTTCACAGGCACGCCAAATGATTTCACAGATGAGTGTAAACACTGACCACATTTCTCAGCTCTTCACCCTCAGTTTGTCTCATTTTCCTTGATGTGTGTGAAGTTCACTTATGTGTTTTTTTTTTTTTTCCCATCACCCCCTTGTTTTTCAGTACAACTCGGTGAATATGAAGAATAAGACGGCAGAAGAGGTGTACGTGGAGATGCTGAAGCCCGCAGAGACGGTCACAATCAAGGTGCAGCATCGGCCGGATGACTTCAGCGCGCTCAAAGATGTCCCAGGAGACGGCTTTTATATTAGGTACATGCACACAGGATCGTTTTTTTTGCAACAATTATACGTTTGCAGCTCTGCTAAAAGGATCACGCTAATCTTCCCCGAGCAGCCTCCTCTCTTGCCCGTGCCGCTATATATAGAAGCACCACTGGAGTGCCTCTTGGACAATCTTTCTCATCTCACCAATTACGTCCCAGATCCACTGTGTGACCGCGGTGATGCTAATCACACTACATATTTAGGCGATCTAATCTCTCTGCACAACGTATCCATTTTTAGTGCTCGGGAGTTTTTCAAGCGGTTAGGAAAACATCGCATATGGATGGAAAATGAAGCTCTAAAATAGTCTCGCTTTATTGTTGGGAGTCTGTCGCCGCAGCTGCCGCAGTCACTTGTCATATAGGCAAGTGGGCTTGTGATGTCATCGGCAGTAAATACACTCAGACTGGCTGGCTGTCACAGATAGGCTGCTCTGGAATAACTTATTAGACTCCAACCAACAGCAGGCCAAAAAATGAAATAAATAAAGGCCTACGCTGTTAAAAGATTCTCTACACTTCTTATCTTACCCGTTTTCATATCTCTGATTCTTTATCTTGTGCTCTTCTTGTCTGATACTCACCTCACCAACTCCTCGTTCCACCCCTCTCTTTGTAACTCCACCATCTATCTTTGTCTCTCTCTCTCTCTCTCTCTCTCTCTCTCTCTCTCTCACCAGAGCACTTTACGACCGGGTGGGGGAGGCCGAGGGGGACCTCAGTTTTAAGAAGGATGACATCCTGTACGTGGATGAGTCTTTACCAAAGGGCAGCTTCGGGACCTGGATGGCCTGGCAGCTAGACGAGAACGCACAGCAGATCCAGAGGGGGCAGATCCCCAGCAAGTACATGTGGGTGGAGAATGCCATGCACGCTTAAACACGTACATTTCTGAGCTGGTGGACACTTTGAAACAGCTGTGAAAACAATCAGAACAACACGGATACAATGTAGAACCTGTATGTAATGTCACAACTCTCCAGTGTGTTTCAGACTGTCCCCCCTCACACTCAATGTACGATCCTGTTGTTCTCTTATTGTTTGTCTCGAGACAAAAGAAAATCTCCTTTTTTTATGTCAGTTGATTTAAGAAGTTGTTTTGTTCTGTTCTTACACGAAGCCCGAGGGGGAAAAAGAGCCAGTCACAATACGTTCTTAAGCATTCTGAAAATCACACTGATTTGTTTTTATCCAAATAATCACAGAAGTCTGAGAACTACAAGTCAAACCTTAGCAGGGTTTGCTTCAGTGTATTTGAATGCCCAGTGGGCCCACTGGACCTTATTTGACCTCCACAGGGACATTAGCTTCAGGGCTTCAAGAAAAGAAAGCTTTCAGGATGTTTCTTTAAATAAAGCTACCGATCGGGTTGCTTAGATTGAAACACAGATGGATTGGTTGGAAAGCTCACCTGCTGAAGAGTCATTAACATAGATGAGGAAAAATCCATTTGTTTGAATATGGCTGAACATGGCAGTGGTTGGTGACTATGAACAATCGGCTATCGTTTCCTTGGGTTTTGGTAAAGTAAAAAAAATCAAACCTTTGACACTACAGTTTGGATGATTTAGTTGTTGTCAATGTGCCTATCACGTTAAAGCCCTGACAATCTTCGGCACATCCAATCTTTTCTCAGGTTTATTGCAGAAAGGCAAAAACTTTTTTTTGAGAATACAACATTCATTACAAGCACATGATGTAAACATAAAATGGATTCCCAGATAGATTCTTAGCACTGACTCGATATAGGACCCTGAGCTATGGAGCAACTGCTCTGTGCCAGACTGCAGCTGCTGCTTTCAAAGGATACTTTATCTCTGGACCTTTAAACTCTTTTAGGGGAAAACACTTTCTCTAACCTGAAAGGAAAAAGAAAAACCTTCCTGACATCTGAAAAAAAATCCTAACAAGAGAAAAACTTGTGTTTTCTCTTTTAAGTACATTCACTGTTAAAGTTTAGAAAGTCTTGCTTTCATCCACCGATGCATAAATGTTCCTTCTTATTTTTCTGTGTGTGTTCGTGTTTTAGGATGGACCAAGAGTTTTACCGCAGACACAGTGTGACTGATATGAAGGAAGACTCCGGTAAGACTTTGTCTGCAGCGGCACGCAGGTCCTTCTTCAGGAGGAAGCAGAAACACAAACGCAGCAGCTCCAAAGACAGCAAAGAAACGGTGGCTCTGGACGCCATCAGCACAGATTCCATCCCATTCCTTGACGGTGAGACAAAAGATGTGGACGTTTTTCCGATGTATTAAACGGTAAACACCTCAAAGTCTCTACTGGAACACAGTTGATTGATCGGTGTGTTGTTTGTGTCAGACTGCGTGAGCCTGGCATACCAGCGAGTCCAGAAGGTGGAGTGCACTTCTCCCCGGCCGGTCCTCGTCATCGGGCCACTCACCGACCCCGTCAAGGAGATGCTGGTCAAAGAGTCCCCTGGAAAGTTCTGCAGATGTGTACTGGGTGAGTTAACCTCCTCCTGATGTTTGTTTTTCAGGTAATGCATAGAATGTGTACTTTCTTACAGGTTGTTTGACATTTCAGCATTAAAAAGTAGAATTTAGGACTTATCCTAATAACCGTCATGTTGAGCAGTTTTTTTTAATTGTTTGACTCTTCCTGTCGTGTCTGCAGAGGTGATGAAGGCATCCCAGCAGGCAATCGAGCGGGGAGTCAAGGACTGCCTCTTCATCGACTACAAGCGCAGAAGTGGCCATTTTGATGTGACCACTGTTGCTTCTATAAAGGAAATAACAGAAAAGGTAAACGTCGGGGATTTGCCGTCTCATCAGATTTTATCAGGAAAAGATAAAACGTAGCTTCAACACAACTTTTATCGCTGCATTTCAAGATAATCTTTAATCGTAGAACTAAATGAATACACAACCAGATCCACCTTTTATTTTTTTTTTATACTGTACATGACATCTTTCTTACCGTTTTCTTTCTCTTTCACATGAAGGGCTGTCACTGCTTGTTGGACATAGCACCGCACGCCATCGAAAGGCTCCACAGTGTTCACATTTATCCAATAGTTGTCTTTGTCCGCTACAAAAACGCCAAGCAGATAAAGTAAGTAGACCTGCTTTCTAATAAAAAAAAAAAAGTCTGCTTCAATGAATGTTTAGTTAAACCACGTAGACCGTCCACTCATTCCCTCCCCTCATGTGTGGTGATAAAATTGCATAAGTGCATTACACATAACATGTGACCTTCAATGTTTGGAAAGATTGATCAGACAGTGTTTTCACTTGTATAAAATGTTGATTTCCTTTCTCTACAATAAATTACTTTTTGCCTTCTTTGTGACACAATTTCAGAAAGGATGTTTCTTCCACAGCCCTCACTGGGTAATAAGTAACGAGGCATTTTTTTTCCCACCCGACAGGGAGCAGAAAGATCCCGTTTATCTGAGGGACAAAGTGTCTCAAAAACATTCCAAGGAGCAATTTGAAAATGCACAGAAGATCGAACAAGAGTACAGCAAGTTCTTCACAGGTCTGTTCAAGATTAAGACACTTAAAAAAAAAAAAAACACACACCACAATGACGAGCCCCTTAAAGGCCTACAGTAGAAGATATCGACTGTATTAGACTTCAGAACTTCAACCATTGGTTGGTGATCTCCCCCCTTTTTAAGCCTCTGGTTTGACATGTTGGCAGATGCCATCTTTTTCTGTAAAGCGATAGGATTTACAATATTTGGACAACAAGGTGCAATGTACCTTCTCTATCCTGGTTTACAGGCCGTAGTAGGAGCACAAGTAAATCACAGATGAGAGCATACCCAGCTTTATCATCTATTTTAGTCTAATTGGGAACAGTTTGTACAAAATTACAATCATTCTGCATTGAGGAAGACTTGAAAATTGCAAATGAGACCATGCATTTAGTGGGAAAATGTTAACCAGGATAGTTAATCAAGTAGTAATGATGCTTATTTATCCTATCTGGTTCATACCTTTGTAATTCTCTATGCAACCAGCAGAGCCGTTAAGAACAATTAAGATTGATGACGCATCCGAATTATTTTTAATTTCATATTCAGAGGCCACACCCACTTCTTCTTTACAGACCATGGTACACAGTTTCTATATTTCAGTCTCACACTCCCTCTGTTTCCCTCCTTTCTTCACAGGTATTGTCCAGGGCGGCACCCTCCCTTACATTTGCACTCAGATCATGACTATAGTTGATCAAGAACAAAGTAAAGTCCTGTGGACTCCACTCGGCTGCCCCTAGAGGAGGCTGGCTGCCACTACAGGAAGCTGCGGCTTTCATCTCCATTCCCCACGCGAACACTAATTAACCCTTTCACACTACACCAATAGGTACACTGCAGCGAAGCTAGTAATGTAAATTATAGATATTTTTTATTTTGTCTTTGTAATGGTTCATATTCACAGCCTCCTGTTATTTCTGAGGAACTCCGGAGCAGGTTTCGTAGCACTGGATCTCGACATTTAAAAGTTCATTCAGTCTTCCCTAAGGGTTTCTGGTGGTGTGTTTGTAATGCTGCATTGTAAGCGTCCGTTTACAGTAAAAGATGAGTCTAACTATCGGTGTTCAATATTAGCTTGAATGCGTGTGTGTCCCCCCCCCCCCCCCATGTGAACCCTCAACACTAATGAAGTTCAGCCACCGTGACCCATTCGTGTGCCAGATGATATTTGTGGTTCCCCTACGATTATGCACCCAGATGTCGGCCAATGACAACTAATTATGTGAGTTTGTTATTGTGTGTGTGTGTGTGTGTGTGTGTGTGTGTGAGAGAGAGAGAGAAAACATTGAAACTGACCACGTCAGTCACGTTTAATCCCAGTTCTTTGTTAGCATGAAAATGATGCTATAGAAATGGAGTGCCAGGATCAGACATCACATTCCTCTTGTGGCGTTTCATCACAAAAAAAACTTTGCAAACAGCATCAGACCTCTTGAAGCATGTAGCTGTGTTCTTCACTGAACCCGACTGCCAGCAGTGACGGCCATGAAAGCTCATAAAACACATCGACGTTTGCTCTATGCATTTTGTTTCTATAGTAGCCGGGCGTGTGGACAGTTCATGGGCCTTTCGGAAGTGCCTTCGGAGAAGAAGCCTGATCTCAGACCAGCCCCTGGTCACTTAAAGCCAGAACATTGGGAGGATTAATGAAGGCCTCACTAAGGGTTGCTATGCACAATTTGACCAATCATGGACTGGATGAGTCGGGGGGGGGGGCTGTTTTGAGATCAGTTCTGTGTAGAGCGCATGACAATGGCGAGGTTTTGAGGGTAGGTCGAAGCGGCGGCCAACGGGTTAACTCCTCAGAATGCACTCCAGGGCTAGACAGACCACTGTGTAACTATCATTCTATCTTAACATATATTTAACAACAATATAGAGTATAACATAAACAGTATGCAGATACAGCTGAGAAAAAAGCATCTATAAATATATATATATATATATAAATATATTACATGTATTTTCACTAGGTCATACGCCTAGGATTGTCTGACAGTCAAGTCATGTCTTAGCAAGTATTAGCATGTTTTTTTTTTTTTTTTTTAAGAATTTATTTTGGTTTTTTTCGTGGTCGGTTGTCAGTCACCTATTGATGTACTCGTTCAAGGAGACACTATGAAGCAACATTTGCAGGGTAATATCTTTGCAGGATTTTCCTCTGATCTGTTTAAAGTTAGTGACTTTTTCATTGTTATTTAATTGTATTTTTTTATTCAGGAGGTGAAAAATATCAGCCCTTCCACGAGAAAAAAAAAAAATATATATCCTGAATTCTTTATTGTGCCAAACTCCACTGAGGCGACTTTATCCTTCTGATCTCTGTTTTGCACTTGTTTATCTGTTAACCTGAAACATGTAACTGTTCTCTAGGTTTCTGGTAGACTATGAATAGGTACTATGATCTCTACTGAAACTAATTCTCCTTTTTATCTCTTACATCAGTTCCTTACATTTCATTGATGGCCTTTTAATTTTTTCTTTGGATTAGAAAAAAAAGGATCACTTCTTATTTGAATTCTTAAAAAGGGATCTATTCTTGCACAGTTTTTCAAAGGAAAAAAAAAAAGAGTCCAAAAGTTTGACTTATCGGGCTCAAAGCAGAAGTAAAGTGTAACGTTACTATTTTTCTGAGTAGATAGTGTATGTTAGTGAGAGTGGGATACAACGTGAAGTGGTTGTATTTTTAGAGAGGGTCCTAGTTACCAGGTACTGATTGAACTTTTCTTTTTATTAAAAAAGAATGTGATTTGTATGTTGAGACATTAACATGAGAATAAAACTCATTTTCTGTATCACTACATGGACTCGGGCTGAGTTTTTCTTCATCATTTTTTTGGGGGAAATAAAATGCTTGAATCCCCCACACCCTGTTTTAGTCATGTCAAGATGCTGTTCACACTTCTCTCTGCTCATGTCCGGCTGAAATGTGGCCGTGTCCTTCAGAGATGTGTGAGGATGAAGGGAATCCATTGTGCTGAAAGCAGCAAAATGACGAAAGAGGCGGATGACGCGGCCATGAGTTGAGTTGAGATAAGGTGGAGTGACGGTATCAGAGAGGGAGATAAAGACGTGGCCTGGCTTCATTATTAAAGAAGCAGCTTCATCCTCATGACATCACGTCATTGAAAATGTCATTAAGCATTGCATATTTTATAACACCTGATCTGAATATCGGTATTGATGCCCTAAGCAGGCATGCATCCATAAGTTTTATTTACTCAATTTTCCTATGATAACAATTAATTCATGGTGCAGTTACCTCAACATCTCTTGTTATTGTCTAATATATCTCATTATCACCTGATAACACAATCATTTCCCAGCAATCTAAAAAGAACAAACAAAAAGCTGATCGCTGTGATCGGCCAGATCATGCTGCCATACTGCCATTTTCCACACTGGTGAGGTAAGTTAGCCCTTTATTATTTTCTTTTACCTGTTTGCAACCCAATGGATTTGAGATATGTGGAGATCAAAAGAAAACAACTGTTGACCCAATATTACAAAAAGAAATTGAGTTAAAATTATGAATGTCTGCTTAAGGCTTCCATACATTTGATCAGATGTTCCTACAAGCTTTCCTTCTTTTGCATTCATTAAGGGCGAAAACACCTTTTATTAAAGCTGGCCTTCCTTTATTCACAATAACTCTTTAACACGTTCATTTTACTCATTGACATAGAACATATAACATATAATTATATTGTTTTTCACATTATTTTTCTTTTTGTTTCAATTTCAGGTATTCAACTTTTTTTGTGTGTAGAGTTTTATATTTCAAGAACTTCCTACAAAAAAAATTCAAAATTTAAATTCAGGTAATATGGTGGCTTTGAAGGTCAAAACCCTGAAATGATTTCAGAAGAGGAAATGTTAAAAACAGTATTGTTTGTGTCGATGTGGTGTTTTGGCCTTCAGGGCTAACTGTACATACATATTTATGCAGACAAAAAAAAGACCTATCCCAGAGTAAACTATGAATATTCCTTTAAAAAACATGAAGAGTGAGCGCTTCCTGTTTAGAGCACACATGCAATCATTCCAGTCATTACTTGAGAGGAACAGCTATAGGAGGCCGAATATCTCACAATAAATGTAGTTTATTTTTCTGTTTTTTTTTCTCCTAAACTGGAACACCAAGTCTTCAGACTTTGATAAATATGGGCCCAGACTTTGAAACATGATTAACATAAACTGGTTCTGCACTCCAGGAAAAACTCTTATTTCTGTAGCTTTCCGTTAGACTCGTTTTCCATGTAATTGGACAGCCTGTAGCTACACACCACATTTTACTGGTTGATTGGGTGCCTCTACCTCCAGGCTGTTTCCTCACAGCGCTGCATTCAAAGTCACATGGTCCTCTGGCCAATGATGTCACAGCGAATGACTCCCCTCCAGCTGTCTGTCAGGTTCAGTGGGGCAAGAGAGCACCAACATCCAGCATGTGTACTGCCTGCAAACAAGGCCTCATGGTTGTATAATGGTGGGGACATTTAATTGTTTAGAAAAGACACGGTGCTCTTACTAATCGGTCTCTGGAGAACTTTACTTCTCCTTACTTCGCACTACCTCTAAAATACTCTAGGTGCAAGTCTGGTTTGCTCTGCCCCAATTATTAATGTCCTCCAAGTGTCCTCCTGCCTGTTTTAGAAATGGGTAGGGTCTCCAGCCCTCCTGCTGAGGTGTCTGTTTCAAGGCAGCTGCTGACAGCTCAACTGAACTTGAGAAGTCTTAAGTCTGACAGCAGATGATCTTTGTAGTCCTCGCTGGCAAGCCGAGGCCTCTCCCATCTCCCCGCATGATGGGCTGGAACCATCCTGTTCGGCCTTCTGCTTTTTCTCAGGCACTTTACCTCCAGCATCTCCAAATGTCTAGCGGGATTACCACCTGCCAGCTCTAATGTTATTCTCCTCATCTGTCAGCACTGAGACCCTTTGGCTAAAGTTCTGCCGGCCCCGCAGAAACCGCTCATCCCAACAGCTGGCCCTTCATAAGGGATGATCAATTCGAGCCCCCTCTCCTGTGGCCTGCAATAAACACCAGCAGGATTTATAGGACACATTATGTGTGGAGCATGCTGCTGATGCTCTCACTTTCTGTGACCTCTGAGGGCTCTTATTGTTGTTGTGCTAAATGCATCTCAATGGGTTAGATTATTTATGGTTGTAATAATGTTCCACTGTTGTTCTGCTTTCTTAAAACATTTGTCAAAAGAAACGTTCATGCAAATAAATATGATATGATATTGAACTTGTGATAATGTGTAAATTCACAACATTAATAAACATTAGCGCTTGCAATATAAAAACCCTTCCATTAATGATCTATTGTGATTTACACCTCACTGAAAACACCATCGCTAACTCAACAAAATGGGAATTAAAAAAAAAGATTTCACCACCATGATGCATAGGAGAACCTGGCTTCATTGTTTCTTCTTGATGTTTGCAAGGATTTAAATGTTTAATTAAAATATTGTAAGATTTATTTTAAAAAAAAGATATTAGCAGAGGAGCTTCCCATTAAGCTGCTGTGTGTAGCTGCATTAATTGCTTTTAATGGGACAGTTCCCCATTTTACCAGCAGGAGGACCGCTTCAGAGCTGCTGATCAGGGTGTGATATGCTGGTATTCAGGTATCCTGCTGCCTGAACACAGGCTGATCTGATGCTGTGCAGGAGCGACACTAAAAAGGAAGTAAGCTCTGTGGAAATACAGGTTTATTGTTAATGTCAAAATAAATCGTATTTTTTGCCAGTCTATAACAGGGTTTTGCTGCAGGGTGAAAAAGTTGTGAAGGAGATAAAATTACAAAAACCTTCGACATGTTACAAACATTTACAACTTGTGGTCTCCTATTATGTATTTTATTCACTTTATGAAGAGAAATCAACAAAGCTTTTCTTGCATGGCCTTTGTCTTATGTGAAGTCATAATATACTTGCTGTAACTAAAGTGCACAATTTGCACGTCTCTCTGTCTCCTATGTTTTATAGCCTCCTCCTCCTCCTTCCTCCCTTACATAGGTTGAAAGATTCTATTACAGCAGCTATTTCTGTGTAAGCGCCGATATTTCCCAGACATAAATTATCCACACACACAACATATATCACACATGTTCTTCACTCCTTGTCTTAAGCACGTTTTGCTTTTCAAATGAGCAGTGTCGTGATTGTGCACTCTCCATGTGACATTTATTGAGGTCACTTATCTTAAAGCTCCTGCGAGGAGTTTTTCACTGCTCACGAAACGCACTGAAACGAATACTAATGCCTCTATGTGACATTCACGATCAAGCAGGAAACAAAAACTGAGAAGATTGATCAATTTTATGTTGCTGTTTGTAATACCGGAAAGTGCTGCGCTGCGGGGTAGGTGTCAGAAGAAGAAGAAGAAGAAGTGATCAACAGCACACACTGAAACAGCTTTTGTTTACATTTTTCACAGCGAGGATTCACAGTGAGCAAAATGTTTCACTATTAAAAGAAAGCAGGGTTATATGACGCTTAAAAATGTAAAGGACTAAATCAGCAAAGATACATGCTTAGTCCACTGGCCAAAAGGAAAAAAAATAAAAAGTTCCTCTCAGGAGCTTTAAAGGGATTGATGTTTGCTATTTGTTTTTGATGTGAATTAGCAGAAGCGAAAGGACCTTTTCATTGCACTTTCACCCCGAGCATTTAAAGGGTCTTTAAATGGGGGACAGATTATTGATTATTTATTGCAAACCATCTCCAAGAAGTCTGGAGCCTTGTGTCACAGACGTCTGTGTGCACCTGCCTTCACATGGTGCTCAGGGGTCAGTGGTTATTCAGGGCCCAGGTCAAGCCAGCTGTTTTCCCTCATATCCTCTGGTCTGGCTGGCTATCCTTGAGGGACATCCATGTGCAGTAATAAACTACTGTCTGCCATGCCTCACCGTCATCGCCAATCCACACCTGTTTTTGTCCCAATGTGTGAGCTAAAAGTGTGAGCATATTACAGTAATTGACCGGGACAGGACATTTATAACACTCTCCGTCTATGTGTGTGTGTGGTAGTTTTTTTTTTTGTTTTGTTTTCATTTCATGGAGTTCATTACTCAAAATGAGAACAGGGACGCCCATGGATGAAAAGCCACAGAATCAGTCACTGAAAGAGGGGAGCACTATGTCTAATGAAAATCCAGTTCAATGATATCTCTATGTCTCCAGCCATGGGACGGAAAAAGTGCTGCGGTGGTCAGCGATAAGTAACCTCACTTTATTGTCCTTTATATCAATAAGACAATCCTGAGGGGACTCATCATATCCTTGTGATGTTTATATACGAAGCTATAACCCTTGAAGTGATCATGAATTAATATAGCTCCTTTCCCAAGCCTCCTTGTTTTTGCGACGTGCGTCAATGGCGCGCATAAAGACGCAAAGGCGCAATTGTGTAGCCAACCTCTTTAATACACCCGAGCAGCGTGAGAGCGCTCGGCACTTGGAATAAACACCGTCGCGCTATTGCTGCCCTCTGTCCATCTTTATTATTAGCGCTTCGCTCCGCCCTCCTACCTGTAAATCTCCCCACTCTCCTCTGGAACGGATCTGACAGGCGCTCTCAGCTGGCCGCTCCGTGCCAGGGCTGCAGGGGACCCGAATGGAGACAGTGACATCCACCCGAGCACCCGCTTGTCCCTTTTACGCAGAATTGACAGCGAGAACGCCCCGCAAGAACATGTAGTCTTCGATATTCCACTGACGGCAAACCAATCGTAGAATCAATTACTTCTATCCCTGTGTGTGTGTGTTTTTTTGTTTTTTTTTTGGTTGTTGTTGCGGACCGTTCAGTCGACCGACGCTTAAGGAAAGTGAAATCGATTCTCCGCCTGCTCATCGGACAGGATCACTGAATGGAAGACGGCTAGAGAGGTCGTCTCGCCGAGAACAGACTGTTAACATTTTTCACTGTCGTGCTGTGTTCACCACCACCACAGCTATCATTGGCAGCCTCGACGGCGGCTGCAAACGACGCCGCCTTCGCCATGGCTTTTGGCGTGAAAGCGCCAGAAAAGCCCTCAGATTGAGCAGATTCGTCATTTCTTTTTTGGTGTGCGGATTTAAATGCCTCTCTCCAAGGGCCACCGACCCGCTTTTTTGCTCCAGTTCGCGTGTGCGGTGTCGCACGCTGCCACGAATAAACAATTCATAGGCTGCTAAAACACAGAAAGAGACTCCATCGGGTGGGTGCACACAATCTACAGCGAAGAGGGGGATTTTTTTTTCCTAAGCAATATGGCTGGTGAGTGGGGCTGGGGACGCTGGCACAGGCTCTCCAAGGCTCCTAAATGCTAGCTGAGGCGGATGGCACCGTTCCCCATGGAAGCGACAGCTCTATGAGGACAAGCAATATCAATAATAATATAAATCCGGACTCTTCAATCTTAATATCCAAGATGGAAGACGTTGTCATCCCGTTCTCGTCTGAGGTGCCCTGCGACAATAATGGACAGCGCATGTGGTGGGCATTCCTCGCCTCCTCCATGGTGACGTTTTTTGGGGGTCTCTTCATCATCCTGCTATGGAGGACGCTCAAATATCTGTGGACGGTTTGCTGTCATTGCAACATCAAACCCAAGGTACATGCACACATTTCTTTTACCAGCTAATGATGCACACATAGTCCTTTATCTTTCTACATGACACTGACCTGACCCCATGTTCAGAGTGGCCTTCATTTTGCCAGGCTGACAGGCTGGATTTCCTCCTCATCTGCATCCACTAAGCAGATATCAAGTGCCCATAAGCAATGCCTTTTATAATGAATGCATGCCTTGAAGATGGATTGTTATTATCCGTTGGCTGTGTTTACCAACTCCCACTCATGAGTGAAGGGTGGTGGTGGTGGTGGTGGTGGTGGTGCATGACAGATATGGGTTAGATAAGAGGAAGGCAATTTCCTTCATGTGATTCCTACTCAACCTTAATATCTTCACGTCCCATTATTCCAAACTCAAATGAGTTTCATTTAAGCACACACATGATCCTGCACATTCCACCAGTGAGACCTAATGAAGTCCACTGATACCTCTCACTGATGCCCTAAGACATCCGGTCCCTTTATTGTGCAACACCCCTGCAATGGAAAAATCCCTAGAAAACAGCTATCGTTCTTTTGACTGATTTGACAGTTACTCTCTGAAACCTTTTAAAGTCAGAGCTGGCTTGAACGTGTTTATGCTGCATGTAAAATGTCTTTGTGGAATGATGTGGTCGCCTGTCTGCAGGACCAATATAGAAACAGGATAAAAAGGGCAACTGGCCGTTACTTTGCTTGGGGTGGCCTGCATCAGGGATGAATCATGGCTGATTCACATGTGTATTAAAGCCTGCTTCATACGTGACTCACTCACTGTAGTGCGAGGGGTCCCTCGGCGGAAGAGAGGGGCAGTGAGAAGGTAGTATTGCTCAGAGTGGGCAAAACATGGCCTTGCAGTGTCTTAGATTAATAATGCCTAGAGCGAGACAATATTCAAGTGATGAAATCAGCTAATGTCTTATGAGTTTTGTGAGTGCTGATGTGTCTCAAAATGTTAGAAAAATAGAATCCAAGTATTGACAGAATAGAGAAAGAGACAGGAATCTTCTTTTTCTTCGACATGTTTTGGTTGTGTCCACTTCAGATGCATACCCTGCGTCCCTTCTGCAGCTCCTCTTGTCATGTCCTTTTGATGGCCTTTGTCCTTTTCTGCTCATGTCTTTCTGGTATTATGACAGGTGGGAGACAGGGCACGGAGTCAGCATCCTTTACTGCATAAATGGCAGAAAAATAGACATTCATTGTTCTGGCATGCTGAGAGTTTGAAAGAAGCAAAACAAGCTGTGTGATTTTTGGTCCATCTTTTGACGTCATATTCTCTTTGTTGGCTGATTTGTGTCTACACAGCTTGTTTTGTTGAGGGGGTCGGAAATTTATTATGCTCATTCATGGAGGATCAGTGGAATCATATCGTGAGGATGTGAACATAGCATTTGTTGTCAAATAAATGATTCCATCACAATGTTTACATTTAAATTTGCAAATTAGGTTAATGCAGATTTTCTATAACATTGGAGACATTTTCTTTTTTAAAGACTGCAGACAAGTAAGAAGATATCAATTGAGTTCTGCGTATATCTTTGTATAAACATCCTGTTCTGATATTGATTTCAGTCCTTTTTCCCAGCTCAACATAAATCATATCTAATATGATAAATCTAGTTGTTATGGAGCTACGTTTTTGTGTTGGACATATGTAAAAAAAGAAATCCAACAAATAATCTTAAATTCAGGCTTACAGTTGGTTATTGTTCTTATCAAAAAGCACAAGCAGACATTTGGCAGAGTTATAAATGCAATCAAGCCTCGAGAATTCAGATTATTTTAGGTTTTCTTGCTGAAGATTTGTCCCATCTTCGCTGCTTTTACGTACCTACACTGAGAGATAATACTTCCCAGTGTGTTACCTGAGGCCATTACTTGGCTGTCAGCCTCCTGTCAATTTCTTGTTCCCGATGGATTCCCCCCCCCCCCCCCCCCGTATCAGAAACGACACCAAACCATATGCCATCCTTCAAACTTCTCACCGTCTTGCTTGGAAAGTGTCGAAAATAAACCATGCAAATATAATGAGGGATCCATCTTGTGGCTGCTGGTGGGTATCTGGTTGCATCTCATCTCTAGTACATGAGGAAAATGAAAGCATGTATCTGTTCTCGTCTGCTCTCTTGTGTTGTTGTGTTGCCGTCTATGAGCCGCAGAGCCATGCGGTTAGGTGACTTTGCTCGGGGTTGACACTTGGCTGCAGCGGGAAAAGGCTTGTTAGGAGTATTAAGAAGGAGGGAAACTGGATCTGTGTTCAGCTGACTAGTATACCGGCCGGCCACGTTGGCATGTGTCAGAAACAGGATGCATAGTTGGCGCAGTTGGGGCCGCGAGGCTTTCTCTGGCGGTACTGGGAACCTGTAGTCCAAGGCGGAGAAATAGAGGTGGAAACTCTGAGGGAGACACACAGGAGGACGTGGAAACAGGGGGGTGTGAGGGTGACGAGGGGTTTTGGAGAGTGGGGGTGTTGCATTGCATGTTGTCAACCTGGGCTCTACCGTTGACACACAGCTGTGTCCTAATTCTTTTAAATGTCCCTCCTCTCTGTCGGGATTTTTACAAGGCAAGAAGTAAAGGGTCGAAGAGAGCAAACTGGGAAGATGGAAAGCTTATTTGAATTGCAGCCATTTGAATCGTTGAGATCAGGGCCTGACGGCGACCTGCATCAGGGTTTCCTCCGGTTTGCTACGCGCCTCGTGGAATGCTGTGGGGAAAAAGCTACAGAAACAATCTCAGTGCTCAGTTGGGGTTTAATGGATGGATGAGCTCACAAAGAGGCATCATTCAGTTGAAACAGCAATAACTTCTTTGAAAACAGAACGTCTATTACCCAAATGTTTTCATCTAATTAAGTAACTTTCCCATTTTAACGCTGTCAACTTTGTAGGACTAATAATAACCTTAGAAAAATAGTTAGTAACAGTTAGGCTAAAACCAAACACTCATCAACATTTGATGCAGTGCGGCCCATGTACAGGTTGTAGTCCTCTTAGAATCTGACCTGTGGCTCCTTTCCCCACTCTCTCTTTCTCTCTGTTTTCAGACACTATCCACTGTCCGATCTCTAAATAAAGGCCCAAAAAGCCCAACATTAAAAAAAAGTATTGCTAATAAAGCAGCTTTTCTTGTGGACATGCTGTTGCACTGTAGTGTTCTGGTTACTGCAGAGACAGTGAGTCCAAGGAACCAGGTATAATCTTTATTTCACTGCTATCTTTCCCTAACAAGACAGGACAATTGTATTACCGACAGCATAATAATGTTTTATAGTTTTTTTTCGCTGTCTCAAGGGTGGACTAGAAAGCAACAAGAACAAGTAAAAAAAACAAAAACACATGAAATAATAATGGAAACATTTATAGCATCATTTATCTGCTGAGTTTTCAGATCATTTTTCAAAACCACAAATCAACCACATTTGTTATGAGATGATACCCTAAGTCCCGCTGCAAACGCCTCTTCTCTGGCTGTCTGTGTGAGCTTCATTATTTTATAATCTTTTTTACAGTGCGGCTCAAGACTTCACTTATCCTAAATACGGGGTTTCCTACCTCACTTAAGACAACGCTGATGCATATGCACGACTGAAGTATAAGCACAACCACTCTGAGAAATTGAAGTACGGGAATCTTATTTGCATTTCAGCATGCTTTAATTTTCTCTTCCCTTCTGCTCTCGTCTTGCTGATATTGAAGGGTTTGTGTGCAGGTTCCTGCGCTCTGCTGCTTTACTGCTGTATTGTTATCTAATGGTGTAGTTATCCACTCTGCGTCATGCCACCTCCAGGAGTTCTTATATGACGCCTCTGTTATTCAGCCTGCGTGGGGAGGAGTATAGAGGCTTTGCGTTTGTGGCTCCAACTTCTGTTCAAACATAAATGGTGACATCATACTCCAGAAATGATTCTGTGCCAAAAAAACAAACACGGCTCAACTAAATAATTAGAAATACCTGACCTGATCTGTTGTAAAGCTGGAGAATCAACTTCATCATTCAAACTACTGATATCATAAGTCTTCCATGAAACTAAACCATCAAACTAAATAGTCTCCAATGTTTTGTACCACATTATTAAATTCAACTAAACAAACAGTTGGCTGCAACGTATCTTATTCTCAATATACTGGAATTCAACTGGACAACAGGTACCATAAGTTAAGACTCCTGTGAGGGTATTTCAGTCTGTCTTGATTCTGGCGCCCCCTGTGGATAAAAAGCAGTGCATCTTATCTCTTTGCTGATCTTATCCTGTGCGTGTGTTAAACATCTCTTCAGGCTGTTTCACTCATTGTAAATATTTGCTGTAAAGAAATTAAACAAAGTCTGTTTGTGGCGTGCTGCGTCTCCTCGTATGACACCTACCCTGCTGCATCATTTACAGGCACTAAAAATAACTGTATATCTATAATTCATCTTTATGCTGATGGTGTGGCTTGCTTTTGTAGCTCATAAAGAGGCATTAGTATGAATCTTAGTCTATTTCATTACTAGTTAAAAACTCCACACAGGAGCTTTAACACGAGAAAGAAGATATATGTTCTGATGTATTAAAAACAAATAAAAACATAAAGCTGATTATTGAGCTTGTTAAGTAGTTGGTGCAATTAGTTTGTTGGTGTTTTGTTTGTCTTGTGAAATTAAAATAATAAGCTGGGTGGACATAAAGTATTTGTACACAAGAAACAAAAGCTGGGACCCTAAACATTTCCTTTTGCTAAAGTAGATGGTCTGTATTTTTAAAATGATCTGTCTTTACAGGAAATAATCTGAAACTAGTTTAACAAACAAATAATTGAAGAACAGCATTTTTTTTTTAACATGCACTGGTTTGAGCTTCTTATTTGTGAAAATAATAATAATGAGAAAATGTTTGGGTTTTGAAGATGTTTTCTTTTTTTTCTCGCACTTTTTCAAAAATATTTTTGACAAATTTTGCATCATTAAAAACAAAGGTCAGCCTCTTATTCCTGCTTCATCCTTTATTTATGGCTTCAT